GAGAGAGAGAGAGAGAGAGAGAGAGAGAGAGAGAGAGAGAGAGAGAGAGAGAGTAGAGGAGAGGCGAGGAGAAAGAGAAACACGTCCGTGTCTGACTAATAGTGATTAATAGCGCATATACACGCCACTATCAAACGGGAACGAGTTCATCCTAGGATCGTGAAGAATTCCGGAGCGGCATATATTAGGTCCGCGCTCTTCTCTCGCGCAAGTTCGTCTTTATTCGTAATATCTCCCCTCTTCATGGGACTCATGCCAAGTCTCGAGATCAGACAATATAGATGTAAATACAAACAGCGCAATTGAATCGTTTGATTGCGCGTCCATGGTCCGCGTACCCTCTCTATTCGTTTATAAAATTTGCAGAACTCCATATAAACGTGGAATAACCTTCCGCTTGAACGGAAGTAATTTCGATTCCGAACGATTTTGCGAGTTCGAGGAACCATTCAAGTTGCGTCACAACTCGCTTCACTGCATAAGCTAAATGGATTTTGAAAAAGATAAAGGAGAAAAAAAAATAAAAGAAAATTGACGGAGCCGGCGCTCCGAAAAAGAATCTCTCACTCGTGCGAATTTTCATTCAAGTCGCGAACGCTAATTGACCGACATGTCGTCGCGCAATAAAATCGCTGTGTGTGTATGTGTGTGTGTGTGTGTTCACGCCCGCTTCACGCACGCACACCCTGACACGCTCGGCTTCAGTGCAGAGACGGAATTAATTACCCGACCGGGGCGCATATCGAAATAATCAATAACGCGTAGCATGTAATTAGAACGTTAAAAATATCGCGCTTTGCATTACACACCGTTATTAACCGAACGCGCGCGCGTTTGTGCCGCTCGGCGACACGGTATGTACATGATGTTGCGGCTCTCTCGTACGAGCGAGGGGCTCACGCGGCAAACATTTTGTGCAGCGTCCCCCCGAGCCGGCCGTTGTGCGCCCTGACAACCACGAGAGAGAGAGCGCTGGATCAACAGGGAAGGGTATAGAACAGTGAGAAGAGACGCGCGGGACGGCCGCGTCGGTTGGAGGAAACGCGACGGGCAGGATGAGAACGCGCACGATGATAACGACGCCGGGAAACGTGTCGGCGATGGTGTGACCTCGCGGACACCGTGTATAAAAAGAACACGGGAAGCCGAGAAGGTACGGCGAAGGGGAGGAGGAGGAGGAGGAGGAGAAGAAGGAGGAGGAGAGGAGAGGGAGGAGTGAGAGAGAGAGGAGAGAGAAGGGAGCGTCGCGTCGTCGCAGGCTTTCGACAATTTAGCGGCGGTAGGATCGAAGGTCATGGCGACCCCACCGGACTCGCCGGGACCGGAAGAAGCCTTCTTCGACTTTGAGAGCACGAGGGCGAGGCAGCAGACCACCAGGCCGGTGCCTATCGAGGAGCTTCTGCGACAAACCAAGTTCTCCCGCCAGGAGATCCGAGTTATGTACCGAGGCTTCAAGCAGGTACGTCCCTTTTGACCTATCAGGTCATCATCGATTTTTCCCGCGATCACTCGTAATCGCGGATGCGAACAGCTACGGCGGTAGCGCTCGCTCTTGCACTCCCGATACTTTGTCAGAAGCGTGGATTTTTATCGCGCTCGTCGAGTAACTCTCACTGAACTAGCGATATTTCTTTTGTAATGCGCTCGCGGCGCACCGTTAACGGATTACTTTCATCCTTGGGCTTATGAGTGCAGCTCATGCGGAATTCACCATTCCGTTCGGGAAGCGTGATGAGTTGGCACTCGCGCAGTTTTGTATCCCCGATCTACTAGGACCTAAGAACATTTCAGCGACACCCCCGAAATAAAGGTCTCAAAGGAAACAGAAGTTTCTCGATAATATTTTATTTATTCGGAATATTGAAAGGGAGAGAGAGCACAGGAAAATTATATTTTCATAACTTATCACTTTTGAACGCGCCGCTGAATATTTAGCGGGTGAAACATTTTTTGAGTCTCGTTGCACAGGATGTTTCTTGAGTGCTGTCTAATATTTTAGGAGATGATTCTTGAGGTCGCTTTATGAAGAAGAGTACATGAAAGTATAGTTTCAAAAGCCACGTTTTTTATACAGAGATACAGAGAGTGTTGGAAATTAAGTTTGTGCCGTAGATTTCGAGGTTACATCCGCTACGCGGATTGTTTACGCATTGTCTACGTGATATATACGCGATCTTTTTGCATATCAACAATGCAAACTATGTAGAGTGTTGTAAATTATATCAAAATATACAGAAAACAGTAATTAAGTTATGAGACAATTCTGAGGCAGTATCTGTTTTGGATATTAACTATAAATGCAATGTTTAAAAATGAAATTTTTATTTATTTTATTATACGACAGATTAATAGATTTAACACTGAAAGAGTAAAATCGTCATCAGAGAATTCTGTGAACTTTAACTTGTTTAAGAAACAACATTCATAAGTTTACATTAAGATTATAAAGATTAAATCAAAATGTAAACTTTTCCTAATTAATTTTTCAGTAAGCCATATGCTTTTTAAGCGACAACCATAGATTAAATATTGTCTACATAGATGAAATCTCATATATAATTTATATTGTTTACACACAGACATAAAATATTATAATTTATACATAAACGTTTAATGCTGAAAATTGTCATTAAATATAATTATATTTAAATATTTCTTAAACGAAGAGTAAAAAAGGCAAATTTTTTATCAGTACCGTATCACTACTGAAAAGAACACGTACCTCAGTCTGTCAAGTAAGAATATGGTCGGGTTAACTTATAAAAAAAATTAGTAAAAAATTAGTAAAATTTTCAAATACATATATACATTGTACTCAATCAGAACAAAGATGCAATTATGTTAATAATGCGACCAATCGCATTATTAATTAATGGTTAATAAATCGACCACCGGCGTCGATAATTGCCTGGTATCTTCGAGGCATGCTTTCGACCAAATTTGCCTATCGAGCCGGTAAATCATTGACATTTTTTTGCCGTTGTATCGGTGCACCCACTTCTGTACGAATACTTTTGACTTTCTCATGTATTTAGCAGCCGCTGATTGCGACATTTTCGAATCTTTCGGGTGGGCGCAAAGGTCTACAGCCTCGTAGCATGACGCGCTACTATTTGGCACTTATGGCGTGTTTCTCTTACAAAAATTCAACAACTGAATCTTTCTTGATAGTGCATCAAGGACGAAGGTTCCTTCTATCGACTCACGAAAGATTTAGGGCTATACTTCTTACCAGTTGGCCAAAAAGGCCGACCAAGCTTTTACTTGACAGGCTATATAGGAGATAAAAATTAAATTTAGGATAGATTACGCATCTTGCATGTATACAATTAGACGCATTAAAATACTGAAATTCTAAACTAATAACTTTATCTATTAAAAATAATATTTTGTAGGTATTTGATAAAATAATAAAAATTGCAAAGAAATTTTTGATTCTACTATTGGCGTACAAGTTTAGGACAGTAATGTTCTACTTAAATCTCGTTTTTGCACCATTAACTTTTACAAAACGGCGATTACAGATAAAAAAAGTAATACCCTGTCTATTTACTGACCCAAATTTAAAAAAGAAAACTCTTTTCGTTTAGAAGCTGTAAAAAAAAACGATAATTTTATTAAAATTTTTCACACTCCGTATTTCTGAAATGAGGTTTTTGGAATTATACACACAGAAAAATATCATTCTACTGCTAAGAAATACAATTATTTACTTTCCTCTTTTTAAGTAATGATTATCTTTAATAAAAAATATTTTCTTAATAATAATTTTAAAATATACCCATTACAAATTTTTAAAAGCTCATTATCACGTACTCAACAGAAGAATTTATTCTCTTTACATGAATATTATAAAATTTTTCAGAAAATAAGTTGGTTTAATTCTATGTAGTAAGCAAACCGAATATGTTTAACTTAATATTCTTGGTTAAAATGTTAAACTTGCTAAGCTTTAGAGCGTATTTTGAATGAATTTGATGCGCACGATGAACTTATGATCGATTCACGAATATATAAGCTTTATAAAATACTTGAAATAAGTAACATTTACTTAAATGTAATTTGTATTTTGTCGTGTGTATGTTTATATGAACTCTTCTTCATAAAATAATTTGAAAAATCAAGTCCTTAAGCATTGAACAGAACACGGAAAAAGCAATATAGTTGGCCTACATATAAATCTGGTTATGTCAACCAGATTCAATAGTAAAATATGGAATAATTAATTGTGTGGCTGTTGCAACCACAGAGCAATTGCTGAGTTATTGAAGTTGCAGCAGATACTGGCGATATCTGGTTACTTTACTAGAGTATCTATGCCACTCCAACCGATTTCTGGTTGCCACAACCAGATCATGCGCAACTGCATTGATGTGCCAAAGTAACTGAGTCATCAACTATATATATTACTATCACAAAAAGATAACTAAAGTGATGTAACTATATTACTCACAACTAAATATTTCTGATTATGTGCACTATATTCTTTTTTTCATGTACTTAAGAAATATCATATATATAACCTTCTAGACTTATTGCACGCCACAGATTAGGCGTAATTCAAACTAGGCCTCGGAGCCCGTTATTCGAATTTCGGATTCTGTCGAGACTTTCCGTGCATCGTTTTGTTGGTTGTCGCAAGATTACAGCGACGCGCGCGCAGCGGCTGATCGTGCAGCTCTCGTACTCTAGTATTTTTAACCCCTGTTTTATTAAAGATAGTCTCGCAAAGTATTGATCATTCACGGGCAGCCCACAGGAATTGTGTTAACGCGGTTACGTAAATGAATGGATTATACAGCGCCGGGCGAGCGATCATCAATAAAAGACATTTTCTTCCAATCGATTCGCTGCGTCATCATTTTAGTTCTTATCTTGAACTTTGTTCGAGACCGGCGATTTTTCATATCCAGGTTATAATGCGTACGTAACGCGCGAACAAGCTCCATCGGCGTTACGTATTGCTGGGGACAGCCTCCTCATTTCGACGATTTTCAAACGCTACGCGTAATTTGCGTGCACGATTTTTTTCACATTTTTCACGTGACAACATACGAAGATAGAATAATAAAAAGCAACGAGCCTATAAATTGTGAGAATAATATGGGAATGGCTATAGTGGACGCAAAGCGTTTACGTACATCGATCCCTTGGAACTTTCGAATGTGTATTTTGTTGCGCGGAAAATGTGTTTTGTAGTGGCGGGGTATAGCTTACACGCTGAAAAAAAGACTGGTAATTTTTATTAAATCTATTTAGTTTACAGAATTTAAATAAAAATTCGGTAACTACTAAATATGATAATAATAATATATAGTACATTTAATGTAAGACTTTTAATCATTAAAGATTTAATGAACTAGAGATTTTAGTAATAGCTATCAAATATTTAACATCTGTTACTAAGTGTATTTAATAACTACTATTGGATATTTGGTAAGTATTGTGAAATCATTCAATTCTGTTTCATAAAATATTTGATAATGTTTATCTTTTTAACGCAAAGAAACTTTTAGTGACCATTAAGTGTATTCATATAAATATATAACACACTTAATGATATTCACATCGTATCGACTATTATTGAGTTGTTTCCAATGTTTGCTAGTAAATATAGCATTGTGTTTCTTCAAAGTTATAAAAATATATTATAAATGTGAGAATATCATCACACAGCTCGTAGAATTTAGCAGTTTTTGTTCGATTATGAGGTAAAACATCGGGTGATAAGCCCAAAAAAGTGGATGATCGTTATGAAATCGAGTAAAACCACGGACGAAACGCTACATGTATGAAATGATAAAAAGTATCGATGTAAGAAATAAAAAAATTATGTCTTAAAATATTTTAAATAGTACGATGAGATAAAACGACCATAAAACAAAGTGCAATGAATAAAATAAAATAAAATAAATTATACGAACAATTTAAATAAAATAAAAAAAATTATACGAACAATTTAAATAAAATAAAAAAAATTATAGGAACAATTTTTATCTCGGACATAAAACTTTTCAATAAAGTTAACAAATATCTCATTTTCTGCTGCCAAGATTTGTTATTAGCTTCCAGAATCTAGTTTGACCTCAATGTATAACTCAAACAATTAAATCTTTGAATGTATAGTTAATAAATAAATTAATAAATGTATAGTTCAAGCAACTAAATCTGTGTATGGATATGTGTGTTTACTTTATATAACTAAATTATTTCCTAGTTACTATTTTATGTCTGCATTATTTTATTGAATAATTTAGCAATAACTACCACATTTTGGTATTTGTTACCAAATCCTTTCTATGCAGGTGAACAGATGACATGATAATAAACGCTTGATATTAAACAAGAAATACATATTCGTGTATCTAAAATTGACTTCGACCGATATCGTATATCCAATTACAGTTTTATGGTCGCTTTATTGTTGTATCTCTTCGATAGAAAGTGGCTCAATACGTT